AATAAGTAAAATTTCAAATTAAAATAGTGTATATTTCACAGTCAGTAAATAATTAAGTATTGGTCTATTCCAAAATGTAAGAACAACTATTGTTGGTGAGACACCGTACCTTAATCAAAATAAAGAAGTTAACCTTTATTCGGATTATTTAAGCTCAAAAAATAAAAATAATAATAATAATGATAATAGCATAACAACAAATTGTACCTCAATATACTTGCCTCATAAATTCATTAACATTAGTTACCAATGTCATCAATTTGAAAGGAAAATATAAAGATTTAAGTTTCCGGAAAACTAATTACAAAAATTGTACCTGTAAAAAAAAATCAAAGGTTGGGCTATAAGTCAAATGGTCGACTTGAAGGAAATCCTCCGATATACAGGGTGTTTGGTAGGTCGATGCATATATTTTGAGAGGTGATAGTGTAAGTCATTTAGAACCTATTTAGTCAAACTTACCCTAGTACCAAGTCTCATGGTTTTCAAAATATGGCCGATTTAATTTTTTCTTGAACAAATCCTATTTGTTCGGCGCTTCAATGTAATAATCAGCAACAACATCACAAATTATCACAAAAATTAGCCAGACGTTAACAAAATCTTCACTTACTTCAGTTTAAAAGTGAACATTTTGTTTGTTAAAAAAGGAAAAAAGAGGCTAGTCCAGTTTTTTTGGGAATATGTAGTCTAATATGCTGCAATCAAAAAAAAAAAAAATGTAATTTTTTCGGGGTATGTGCAATTCGAAAAGGCACATGTGGAAAAAGTTTTTCAAATTACATTGAAAACCTTGGTTGTCTTTATTTTATCCAATATTTTTTTCGAAAAAACTTAACTTTTAATGAAATTAGTATGACTTTGAAATGGCACTCTTATTATTCATTTTTCATTTATTTTATTGATAATGCATTTGACACAAGAAATACATATTCCGTTAAGATACAAAACAAAAATAATTGAGACAGTATTTCTGAATATCACATTGAAGCGCTCAACAAAGGATTTGTGAGATTTTTTTGAGAAAAAAATTAATCGGCCATATTTTGAAAACCATAGGACTTGGTACCAAGGTTAGTTTGACTAAATAGGTTCGAAAGACCTACTATATCACCTCCCAAAATATATACATCGACCTACCAAACACCCTGTATAAGTTATAAGAGCCCGGGTTAAAAATTGATCAATTTTCGACGCAAGTTATTATTCAAGAATTCAAATTCAAGACATGTTGTCCAACCTTGACCCTTATTCAGATTACTTATTTATAAAATTGATAAAATATAAGGCAACATTAGAAGTTAGTTATGCTAACAAAATAAAATTAATAAACTAGGAAAACTAAGAAATTATCATAGCTTTGTTAATAGACTGTAAAAAATAGTAAAAATGATTTTATGAAATAAAAAAAAATGAAAATTAAGAGTTATTATTGAAACATATACAAGCCTTTATCCCAAAAGAAGCCATATCCGGAAACCATCCATTCTCGTCTCTCGATATCTGGACCAAAGGGGCCACACATGGAACTGGTAGATTCCAGCCCAGAATCCAAGCAAAAAAGGGACTAAAATCGTCGTCAAAGGTGCAGCACACGTATCGACCTGTGGGGTCTTGATTCTAGTAGGGTAGGAAGCCTTTCAAAGGTTCAATGTCAAGCTCCACGGAAATGGTGTTGATTTGAAAATCTGACCTTTTTTTGGAATGGACTTGTTGGGGAAATCGGCTGTTCGAAAGACCCTAAGTAATAATGCATTCCTTGAAAAGCCATTACTTATAAAACTTGAAAGAACTTACCACGTTTTTGGGTAGGAATTCATGCTTAAATCAAACCGCAATCACGAGACTTTTTGATTCGAATTTTTCTTAAATTGACAGATTATTGCCAAACGCAACTTTAATTCGTTGAACATGGCAACGCCCAAAGGCCGGTAAGATATTTTTTCTCGATCAGCACTTTCAGTCAACCGTTCAGTTCAACGAGACAATTTAAAAGAGACGAGAATCAATTTCCTACGGGCCAGGTAAGTACGGATACAGCGCTCCCTCTTGAGATAGCCAACGGAAATTGTTGGTACTAGCCGGGTGACAAATTTAAAAGAAAATTGCGCCCTCTAGTGTTATAATTTAATAATTGATATATAATAAATAGCGGAACCCTGTAACTTTTTAAATGTTAGTCACCAGACTGTCAACATTTAAAAGGGTTATATTTAGTTAAATTTTAAAGAAAAAAAGACAAGTAACTTTAAACGTTACACTGCCCTCCTTCAAAAAAGAAAAAAAATATACGAGGTGTATATTTTTTTTGTGATAAACTTAAAAACTAGGTAAGGTAGAAATTGATAGAAAAGATAGACAGAAGGAAGAAAAGGAAAGTTGAAAGCGGTTGTGAACTATTTTAGGCTGATAACTAACGTGTATCACTCGTCCTCATGGAAATCATCATTGGTAGGTCGCAATTGAACTAAAAGAAAGTCATAATAGGTAAAAAGTCATAATTGGGTATGGTAAAAAAAAAAACTTGACGGAACTTTCAACTTTATTTACCATTATTTTGCCATAAACATAAAGAAGAGAAACGGTACAAAACAACTACACAGGGAAAGACCCCATGCAGTGAAAAGATGAAACGCCAATTTATACCTACGGTATTTCGTTCTGGGCGGAGTTCCCGGGAAGGAAATAAGAGAGACCTTTCATCCCTTGCATATAACGGGGATCAGCCGCCATTTACAATTTATCCGTAAAAAAGCTCAATCAAGAAGGGATAGAAAAAAAATCAGTGTGCGGACGAACACACCTAGGAATGCGATTATCCCAAGAATGGCTCTTTCCATTGAAATCACCGTTATTCCTCAAGGAACTATCTCACTCTAACTCGTCCCACCAAGCCTGTGTCAATAAGGTGGTGGCAGCAGCCTGCCCAATTGATACCCCTCAACGGACAAGGGAAATCATTTAAAACAGAAGACGGCACAGCCCTTATAGAGGAAAACTTGAGGTAACCACACCCCGGAGCAAAAGTGAGTAGTCAAATCAATTTATAATTAATTGGATAATTGAACCCTATGCTGGAATAACGTTGTAAATGACAATGTGTAAAAACGGTATATCCATGGAACTACGTTGTATGTACCCTGGATAATTCGCCAACTTAATAGTGGGATGTGGGGTCATGGGATATTTTTTTTTTTTTGATGAGTTGTTGATGCTATTTCAAAAGGCTCAGTATGTCCTTTTTGTGGAACAACGTTTTAAGTGCAACCTCGCCCTAGTTTCGCGCTTGTTTCGTATATTTGGCGTTTGAAACGTTGCTCCAGCATAGGGTTCAATTATTCCAAAATTTTGGGTTTTGGTTGTTCTTCGGTAAAGGCAAAGTATTCACCGAAGAAAAGCAATTTCGCCCGCAACCATTCCCTAGTACAAACATATTGTAACCAATTGTTTGGTTAAACAATAATATTGTTTGCATTAAGCCATTGTTTTAGGCCACAACGCTGACGGCCTTGGTAATAGCAAAATAATGATAAGGTAAGAAAGAGAGGTATAGATAAAGATAGAGTAGTGGCTAGAGAAAAGTGATCAATAAAGGTACATGGAAAAAATTCCCAGGAAACCTCATGTCGATAATGGCTGACATAAGCTGACTCAAGAAGTTCTATTGGCAGACGATATTAGAGAGGTAATATAAACGGTATTAACGATATTCGTTAGGAAAGGTAAATGAGAAATAAGATAAAACAACTTCAGCAGAGATAATTCTGTGTTAGAGGCAAGGTACTGTTTTAAGTCTTTTATATGCCGGTTACCTACATTTTTACCTGTAGAAGAATTCAAATTCAAGACATGTTGTCCAACCTTGACCCTTATTCAGACTACTTATTTATAAAATTGATAAAATATAAGGCAACATTAGAAGTTAGTTATGCTAACATAATAAAATTAATAAACTAGGAACCAATTTTCTTTCGCCATTGTGTCAAGAATAAATTTGTACATAAGTGTCATTTATAAAAAATTATCATAGCTTTGTTAATAGACTGTAAAAAACAGTAAGAATGATTTTATGAAATAAAAAACATGAAAGTTAAGAGTTATTATTGAAACTTATACAAGCCTTTATCCCAATATAAGGCATATCCGGAAACCATCCATTCTCGTCTCTCGATATCTGGACGAAAGGGGCCACTGGTAGATTTTAGCCCAGAATCCAAGCAGAACAGGGACTATAATCGTCGTCGAAGGTGCAGCACACGTATCGACCTATGGGGTCTTGATTCTAGTAGGGTTGGAAGCCTTTCAAAGGTTCAATGTCAAGCTCCAGGGAAATGGTCTTGATTTGAAAATGTGGCCCTTTTTTGGAATGGACTTGTTGGGGAAATCGGCTGTTCGAAAGACCCTAAGTAATAATGCATTCCTTGAAAAGCCATTACTCATAAACCTTGAAAGAACTTATCACGTTTTTGGGTGGGAATTCAAACTTAAATCAAACCGCAATCACGAGACTTATTGATTCGAATTCTTCTTAAATCGACAGATGATGGTCACACGCAACTTTAATTCGTTAAACAAGGCAACGCCCAAAGGCCGGTAAGATATTTTTTCTCGATCGGCACTTTCAGTCAACCGTTCAGTTCAACGAGACAATTTAAAAGGGACGAGAATCAATTTCCTACGGGCCAGGTAAGTACGGATACAGCGCTTCCTCTCGAAATAGCCAACGAAAATTGTTGATACTAACCGGGTGTCAAATTTAAAAGAAAATTGCGCCCTCTAGTGTAATAATTTAATAATTGTTATATAATAAATAGCGGAACCTTGTAATTTTTTAAATGTTAGTCACCAGACTGTCAACATTTAAAAGGGTTATATGTATTTAGTTAAATTTGAAAGAAAAAAGGACAAGTAACTTTAAACGTTACATACTACCGAAAAAAATATGCAGGATGAAGAAGATATCAACTTTGATATTATTGACCTCCTGACACAAAATATAGCAGAAGGAAAGAAAAGGTTAGAGAAGACGACGAGAATCTGGAGGTGGGGACAGAGAACGAGAGTTTGGAAAAGATGAGAGAGGACGATGACGTGGAAGAGGGGACAGAAGGCGAAGAGAATCTGGACATGGGGACAAAGCACGAGAATTTGGAGGATATTACAGAGGACGAATACGTGGAAGAGGGGTCAGAACAGAAGACAACGAGGCTCTGGAGGTGGGGGCAAAGAACGAGAATTAAGACGAGATAACAGAGGACGAAGACCTGGAAGAGGATGAGGATAGAACATCCTCATTCTCTACCTACAGCTAAAAGTCATAACTGGCGTATAAAGTGAAAACGGTTGGTTTGACGTGAAATATGTGAATAAAATTTTATGAAGAGTATTTCATACATCTGTCAAAACTGGTATTCCAACAATAAATTGACATGTTTTGATTGTTGATTTGAACCAATCAGATTGTAATTACGCGATAATTTGCACTAGTGCAAATTATCAGATAATTGCATACTAACTGGTGCAAAAACTGGTGTTTTGACATTTTTTGACAAAAAATTTAAATTTTTGATTTATGAAATTCTCTCATTAAATACAACTCGTGCAATGGAAATATATTTATAATTTTCGACAAATTTGCACTCATGCGTTTTTAACTGAAAAAGGCACTCGTGCACTACGTGCACTCGTGCTCTTTTTCAACTAAAAATGCATTCGGGCAAATTTCCCAAAAATTATCAATAATTTCCATTGCACTAGTTATATTACTATTGAGAATTTTCCAAAATATTGAAGAAAAACCCATTTCTGTGAAATTTGACCTTGAATATCTTTAAACGCAAACAAGATATCGGTGGGGACTTTTAATACAGTATCAGAAGTGAAGGTGTAGGTATGCAAAGTTACAGCTCACTCCGATTTTTTCAGTAGATGAATCCTTATATGACTCTACTACAAAGCCAACGCGTTCCAACATAGTTCACCTGTGCCGTTGGCTAGCGTTGGAAATTCGGTCTGTACGCGGCTTAAATTCAATTTTTATATCTTCACTGGGGTTTCTATTTCAGAAGCGAATTTAAAAAAAATTCTCTTAGGTATGCGTGTTTGCAGATAAGTGAGAGTCCAATTGATAGATTCTAAAGCCGCGTACAGACCAAATTTCGAATGGTGTGAACGGCGGTTTGGCCGATGTTCTCAAATCCTTTCCAATTCCAACGTCAACGACGGCACATTTGCTGTTAGCCTTGGTCTACGTTGGAAATTAGGTCTGTACGCGGCTTAAAAATCCCGTTCAATCCGTATAATCCGTTCAAATAAATAATACAAAAATCTGATGTAGGTACCTATAAATATGTCTCCGTAAATCGTTCCAATTAAGAGAGGATCAGGAATCGCTCACGTGAAGAGAATTGAAACCTCATATTTGGTGCCTTGGTGGATCATTCTGCTACTTAAGTAAAACGTAACGTAAACATACAGCTTCGTATGATTTATGGGTAGCACTATATTTTAGAATTACAAATATGAGTATGAGAGTGGATTTTCCATTCTTTATTTTATAATAATTTTAAGTAGGTACTCAAAAAAAGTCCAGGAGTATTCCACTATTAGAAGCTCGAAAGAACTTTGCTATAATATGTTGAGATACTATATTATGCAATTGGCTCGATTCAAAACGGCATTTCAAAATACGCAGCCGAGAGAGAAGTTTTTTTTTTTAAATTATGCCTTTGCAATGATATGCAGGCCGCCCTGAAGTTGAGAAATTTTTGTGCGATGAAATTTTGATCCGGCAACTGCTTTTGTAAATACTAAATCGATGACGAGAAAAACACAATCTATAAAAGCAACAAACCATTACACCAGGCTCAAGGAAACAAACAAAAATAAAGCAACTTTGTTGTTTTAAGCAAAAGTAATATTTGCCAGGGTTGACGGTTTGAACCTGGAGCACACTAAAGTGACAAATTATGATTGATTGCACGTAGCCTTACGTTGAAAGACAAACAAATGAGAGCTTTTGAATGAAACGTCAGGAGAGGTCAAATTATCTTGAAAAGAGACTTTTTGTTTGGTTTTCAGTTGAATTCATTGAAAGTGAAGTTAGAAGGCCGTTTAAAAGGTAAATCTCTCTTTTTTGTATTTAAATTAAGATTAGGGGAAAATCCTTGTCTTAGAGTGGATACACGAACGGCGCCGCTTCTTGAGAATACCAAAAAGGTTTAATTAGCCGAAAAAAGGGAAGGTTAATTTGATTGCCGGATTGTGGCCTTTTACTTCAGTTTCATAGCAAGAAAAGAGATTTGAGAGAGATTATTTGGAAAATAAAATGCCTTGATTTTTTTTCGTATATGTATAAAACTGTAGCTTTAAAAAGGAAAGTAGAAATCCAGAATGTATATGTAGAGTGGGAGTAGAAATGCATTTTGTGAATTAATTTTTTTAAAAATCTGAAACGCGTGTTAGCTAAAAAATGTTATCTAAAATTATTGATTTCATGAAGGTCAACTTTTAATAATATCATGCCTGATATGCCATAATCAATTTCATCTATAAATTTGTTATAGACGCGTTAAAATCAACTTCGAACATGTTTCCATCTTGTTAGCTTCGGTTTAGTTAAGCTTCATGATGTAAGTATACAAATGAACTAATTTACGAAAAGCGTATTTACCTTCTCGTATATAAAAGAAGAAAAAAGCAAAACCATTTCCCCAACTGTTCCGTTTTTTTTGGCAAAACAAAAAAAAAATGCAACGCGAGAGCAGCAGATTTTTGAGGAGAGTTTTAATTAAGTTAAATCCGACGGAAACCGTTTATTTTGCTAGCGCGACAATCGCAGCGTTAACAACTACATTAATATTTATTAAATTGAATAGTTATACTCACTGGAAAGTTTAAACCTTACGGGAGAGTTTTATTAAAACTTTAATAGGTCCATTTAAACTATTTTAGTTATTTCTGAATAGGAAAACTTTAAAAACTTGTGATATTTATTTTGCTAATTTTAGGTTCGGTTAGGGCAAGTTACTTTTTGAAAAGACAATATTTTAAAAGCAGGGACTTGATTAGTCGAAGTACAAATGAATAAGGATGAATTTTCATTCGGTACAATGGCCTAAATAAAATAATATAAATGTAGTCAGCAGTTCTAATCGTATGGGTTGCTTGGAGTCGGATTGTCGTTACAGGTTCTCATCATAGGGTGTCTCCTCCACCCTTAGTGTAAAATTCTGGAGTTAGAACCTTCGATTAGGTTAATCTTTTTTTTTTTTCGATTACTTAGGCAATCTTGAGATTTCATTTAAATTTATATAATCTAATTTGATGGGTTTAATATTAGTGACAATTTTATATTTTATAATTCAAAATTTAATTTGGGAAAATGAATATTTTTGAATTGACGTTTAATACTGTTTAAGGTTTCTCAAATAGATGTTGTTTATTTCGATTTCACAATTAGGAGGGAGTTCAATTAGATATGTTCTTTTTAAGGGTATTTTAGCGTTATTGTTGTCGCATTTTTGAGCTGCCGCAGTATTTTCTGGACTCAGTACTATCCACTACTTCAATCTTCTGAATTTTCAGTTTGTTGACTCGGGAACCAGGTGGCAATTTGATAAGTTTTGGGCAAATTTTAATAACTGGGTTTCACATGGTGAATCCTGTGAAGGTCTAGTGGGATCAATTTCGTGAAAGATAAATTCTGCAGGAATGATTTCGATGCATGAGTAATCAGAAAAATAATGATTTTGCTTATTAATAATCAAATATTTGTTATTTGGAATTATTAATTTTGTAACGCTCTTTTGTCGCAACAAAAGAATGCTCATAATCTGTGCTCGACTATGCTCAGTGGTTGTTCAGCTTGAGGTGGTCCTTGGTGTTGGTACAGTAAATAGAGGGCGCCACTAGTTTGTATAAATTATTTTGATTACCAAAGAATAGCCAAACTAGACACTATTCCGATAATTAGTTATTGTTTAAAAAGATAAATGCAGAAATCTCAAAAGGAAAATAAATCTAATAGCTATCTGACATCTAACCCATTCAATAAAAATACAAGTTGTGGAATTCTAAAAACAATAATTTATTAACCAAATGTCGAACTGGTTGTTCAATAGTTCCAAGAAGAATATTGTTCAGTATCCAATTTAAAAAAAAAAAATTAGGCAGCTTTCCAAAAGCAAAACTTAATATAAGTAGGCGTATAAAAAGATTGAAATTTAAAAACAATTAAATAGATAAAGTTTGTTTCGCCAGGGTTTGTACTTGCCACCAGCCTTGTTTAACAAATAAAAATTGATTGAAATACATCAATGACGTCAAAAACGTTTGTCGGTTCTTAACCAAAAGTCATTCATTTTAATTTGTCAAAAAAATTGCATGTGTCATATGAATCAATCTACGACAACCCTTTTTTTTTCAAGTTTCAAGGTCAAGTATGAACCCTGGTGAAACGGACCTTACCTACGATGAAATTTACCTAAGTATAAATATTGAAGGGACAATATAATTAACCTTTAATTTTTGACTCAAAGTCAATCAAATCAATTAAAAAAAAATCAATAAATGCAGAAAGCTAATAAATAATCCCTAGGGAGTTATAAATGCCAAAGACAGGCTATATGAAATCAAGGATATCGGGGAGAGCTCCAGCGTCCTACCTGTAATTGAAATTCAAAATATGTAAACATAAAACTTAACTTCAACTACCTAAAGATTTTACATTGATTTACCTTGTAAAACTACCACCTCATTGATTTGATATTAAAAGTTAAATTAACCCTTTAAAGGTTAATGAATCCACGATATATTATATCGATCAGTACTCGATATAAGAGCCAAATTATGGACCGACTAGTAAACGTCTGGTTGTTACCTAGCAGGTACTTTCTATGCACTAGAGAATAGAAAGTACCTGCTAGGTAACAAACAGACACTTACCAGTTGGTCCATAATTTGGCCCTAAAGGAAATAAATTTATAATATTTATAATTATCCATAATTATTAGATACTAGAATACTAGATTGTGATAATGATTAATTAATTAATTAATTAAATTAATAAATATATTTAATCAGTAGTTAGCTATTATAGCTAAATACTACTATACGGTAAACGAGTCGGTAAATGATTTTACAAAGATATTAATTAGCTAATGAAGCTAAACGATAGGAGGCAATA